TTCTACTGTGTCCAATAGTTTTTTTTTTTTTTGTTTTTTTTTATTTACTTATCTATCTAGGATAGAGGATAAAATCCACTGATATTGATTTGGATGATTATGAGTTTTAATAATTTTTAAGTTTTTTTTTTTGAATTTTTTTTTCCCACTTTATTGATTGATCAAATTGAGTGATCACATGTGATTATGTGATCAAAGGGGTGAGTGTTAGTATTAGATAGCAATATGGCCTACGTGCAGGACTCTACAAGGACTCTGATTATTTTGACTATGATGTGACTGTCTCTGTGTGACACGTCTTTCCATGTGTGACGTGACAATGACTATATAAACTGTGTACTGCCTTTATTCTGTCTGAGAGAAAGAAACAATGGAAACCACTGGAACTTGAGAGAAACTTAAATAAACTTCCAGAGTTTGGCGCACCACGATCCGTCTCTGTCTGCTTCATCCCTGACAGCAGGGATGTACATATGAATGTGTCAGAAACAGAAGATGCTGGAATTAGCACAAAAGCTAAAATGCATCCTTTGTCCTAAAGCGGCAGAAGAAACACATGTTTAATATATATGCTCTGTATGTTCATGGGGAGGCTGCACCTTTTTACTTCTTTCTCCATTTAGAGCCCACCACTTGGAAACACAAATACATTTGTACAAACACATTGAAATTGGAAATAAACATACTACAATGTATAAAAGTATCTTCATAAACTAAGGAACGTAAATATTGTAAATACTTATGACGGTATAATTTTAGTTCAAATTAATAAAAAACAGCCTATATAATAACAGAGGTGAGAGTGTTTTGTGTCCATAAAAGCAGAGTAGTTGGAGCTGGTGCAGAGTTCTGAGAGAACGACCCCAGGTGCACTTCCTCCTCAGTGGGATTAAACTTTGTGTCTTTATGTTTTTGACCTTTATGTTGGAATAATGCAACAGGCAAACTTTAACCTACACTAAACATGAAACTGTCACAGATGACTTTGTCCGAGCGGGACTCCAACCCAGACTCTCCCCCCTCCCTCGCAGCTGTGAAACAAGCTCCCATTGGTGATTGTTGCTGTGTGTCCTTGAGCAATACACTTGACCCTCCTCACCCCCAGTGTCTGGATGGTGATTGGTTCAAGTCAAATCAAATCCAGCAGGAATGAGGGAGGGTTAAAGGAAGGTCCTGAAGTGTGATTGGGTGTTGCATTGGGGGCGACATGTCCACGATGACAGTGGTCAGATAATGTTAGGTTGTGGATATGTCCAGGGGAATGTGTGGAGAGTCCACATGTGGGAGGTTAAGGACACTTTTCTTGTTGATGGAGCGAGTGTTGAGTCGCAGTGGAAGAAAACAGAAGCATCATTACTGCCTTTTGGACTCACTATTGTTTCAGCTGCTTCTTCAATAGTTTTTATCTGCAGTTTAGTTCAGAATAATAATGTCCCACTCTGTCTCCTTCTTCATCACATGTCAGTTTGAATCTTAGACTTAATGCAGCTTTAAAGGAACCATAACATTTTCCTTTCAGACAAAAACTTGATGTATCCGAGTCTCCAGACACAAAGTAAAGATGTTCAAATCCACAATAAGTGTTTGGTCTGTAAAGCTCAGCAGCTGCAGCACAGGGTTAAGACTGAAGTGTGATCCTGTAGAGTCTGACTCTGGGTTCACATGATGCAGCCTCAGCTCTGTCTCCTTCACTTTGTTCCAGATGCTGCGTCTTCACACCTGCTTCTCACAGGTTTTATTGTGTCTATGAAGAGATGAGCTATGAGTAAAAGACTTTCCACACTTTTTACAGACAAATGGTTTCTCTCCAGTGTGGATCCACTGATGACGTTTGAGATTAGACTTCTGAGTAAAACTCTGATCGCAAACGTCACAGCTGAAGGGTTTTTCTCCAGTGTGGATTCTGCTGTGGACCTTGAGATTTGCTGCTTGAGAAAAACATGCTCCACACTGATCACACTTGTATGGTTTTTCTCCGATGTGAATGCTCTCATGTCTTTTGTAGGAGGAAAACACAGTAAACTCCTTCCCACATTCTCCACAGATGAATGGCTTTTCTCCAGTGTGGATCCTCTTATGTTTTTTGAGATTACCACTGTGAGAAAAACTCTGATCACAAACGTCACAGCTGAAGGGTTTTTCTCCAGTGTGGATTCTGCTGTGGAGCTTAAGATCTCCTCTTTGGGAAAACCTGTGGCCACACTGATCACACTCGTACGGCTTCTCTCCAGTGTGGCTCCGATGGTGAACTGTGCGATGATCTGCAGTACTAAAAGTTTTACTGCAGAGGTCACATGCAAATGGTTTTTCTCCAGTGTGGATTCTCTCATGTCTTTTGTAGTTTGAAAAGAGAGTAAACTCCTTCCCACAGTCTCCACAGATGAATGGTTTTTCTCCAGTGTGGATTCTGTAGTGCTGAGTGAGGTGAGATATTTGTGTAAACGTCTTTTCACACTGGTCACATTGGTGAGGTCTCTCTCCTGTGTGGACATGCTGGTGTACTGAGAGCTGCCGTTTTCTCCTAAACGTTTTTCCACACTCGTCACACTGAAATGGCATCTCTCCTGAGTGGATCCTCTGATGAACTTTGAGATTACTCTCATGTCTAAAACTCTGATCACAAACGTCACAGCTGAAGGGGTTTTCTCCAGTGTGGATTCTGCTGTGGACCTTGAGACTTCCTTCCGTAGTAAAACCTGTTCCACACAGATCACACACGTATGGTTTTTCTCCAGTGTGAGTTCTGTAGTGTCTTTTTAGATCAGTAACAGATCTGCAGGTCTTTCCACACTGATCACATGTGACCCCCATTCTGTAGATGGACTTTGTAGATCTGCCACAAACACAGAAAAAGCAGACAGATATTATATTATTACTCACCTGGACATAACACAACCAGACAAATGTTAAGTTTTCAACCCTAACTTAAACTGAAGTAAACGCACATACATTAAAGTAGATCAGGGGAGTCAAACGTATTTTAGCTCAGGGCCAAATGGAGGAAAATCTAATCCAAAGTGGGCAGTTTATTTCATTTAGTGAATACTCCTTCAGTCAGTTGCCTCCATGTCCTGATTCTGTTGATTGTGGACCATTGTCTCCTTGGGAGGTCGGTTCCAGGGACCTGTTGGGAAGGGTCTGGCACCAGGTGTTTGTTGGGGACCTTCTTGGACGCCTACTCCCTTTTCCAGGCTGATTGGGAAACACTGAGCTGACGTCACCGTCCACAGTTTTGAAAGCTGTGGGGCCCCCTTCCTTATTCACGTGTGTAAGCCGGCACTGTGTTTTTATTGTTTTTTTTGTATTGCTGTGTGTTTTGCTGTCCTTTTAATGACCCGCATGACATGGCTACCCCGTACCACCTGACTGTCACCAGCCAACCGGGCGTCCCTCCTATTCACCGCACCCGCGTGAATGGAGGAGCTTAAGACTGACTCTGGGAGCCACGAGGAGGGGGCAGCCACGGGTGCAGGGGGAAAGTCACGAGCAGAGCAGAGCAACGAGCCGAGAAAAGCCACGAGCAAGGGGAAACCACGGAGTAAAACCACGAGTGGAGCCGCTGGCTCCCGCTCTTCCGCTGCTCTGATGATCAGCTCTGATTGGTCAGAGTGCGGCCGAGCCCCTCTGTGCGCGTGCATGAAAGCAACACATGCACGTCTGGCGCGACGCATGATGGGAGATATCTCCCATCAGGCGTTGCGCTAATCCACTGCGCAGAACCGGGAGGACCAGACGATGCCCAAATATAGGCGAGTTCTGCTAATCTCCCGGTCTCCATGAAGTCCCATGAACTTACTGAGCACAAGCCATTCATTTGAACAGGGCGCCATCTTGGATCACCGGGGCTTGACTTAACGTCCTTTATGGCCTTTTCTTTTGCAGTCTTTGCGGAGGTTTTTGAAGTGTGAAAATAGGTGCTATGACCTTTTGATGAATTAATCCTTCACGAAATCCCCGTGAACGGTGTTTAGCGCTTCGTTGTTCCTCGTGTAGCAACAAAACTTTTCTTTACATCGCAAACATTAAGCAGTCCTTCCTCATTGACTGAAAGCAAATGTTCATTATCATTCGTAGTCCAGTCTTATCATCGGCTCTTTCTTGTTTTAGCTTCGGGATCCATGCGCACTTACAGTCTATGATGCCCACACGCCGGTTAGTTTACAGCAGCGGCCGCATCACAGGATATGACGCGCACTACGTTGACAGAAATGTTGAAATTGAATATTACTTCCGCACATTTTCGCAGCATTTAAAAACGTTAAGAATGTTTTTTCTCCTACAGAAACCACATTCAAACTAGAAATAAAATATAGCACTCACACTCACACTCACATTTTTGAAAAGGCTCCAGGAGCCACTGAGGAGCACTAAAGAGCCGCATGCGGCTCCGGAGCCGCGGGTTGCCAACCCCTGGTCTACAGACTGGGATCTGGAGTGGCAGCTGGAGGGCTACAATGTGTGGTGCAGAGTGAGGACACGTAGACATTGGGACGTACATCACTCGCACGCTGCTGCAGCAGCTGCACTTGCTTCGCTAATGCTGCATATACACATACTGTTGAGACAGAGCTACTGTTTCTCCTGCTCCTACTACTCGCTTATTCTTCTGTTAGACACATACTTTGTAGCTAAACCATGTTGGATACTATTATGACGGAGTGTGAGCCATATAACCACCGAAATGGCTGATAAAGACAAAGCTATTGTCACGCCTAGCCGTGGGCCTGACAAAGATGATAGTGGCCTGCAAATGCTGCTCAGAGAAATTATAGCCGTGTCCACTAAAATTGAGAATGTGGAACAAGAAACGACTTCTAAAGTGGATGCTCTCCAGCTCTCCTTTGAAAGGACCTTGAGAGAAGAACTCAAATAACTGAAAGACAATTTTGACGAGGAAATAGGCTCTCTTAAAGTCAGAATGCAGCAGCTGGAAGATAAGATTAAAAACGCACCACGAGTGCCCATCACACGTATTTGACCTAGAGGTTTCTGTGGTCATTATGGGTTTACATTATGATGAAAACGAGAATCTGATGGAGATAATCAAAGAGCTGGTTGAGGATGGCTGTGCTTGTGACCAGGCCGTGACGCTGGTGGTGCTGGAGAGGCTACGCTCACGAGGACGCAGGCCCGGGGTGGTGAAAGTGGCTTTTGCATCTGTGAAGGAAAAGGTGGCCGTGCTCCGGACAAAATCAAACCTCAAATCCACTGAAAACTACAGGAAATTCTACATCAAAACTGCAAACTCACACACTGATCGTGTCATGGAGGAGAATTTCAAAGTGCTGTTACGGGACATGCCTAACGGGAAGGATTACTACGTGTCGGGCAATGGGAAACTAGTGCGCCGCGGGGAAACTGAGGCGGAGCTGTGGCCGCTGCAGGAAACCGAGCATGGAGCCGCTGAGGAGCTGCTGCCACCACAGTAAGATTTGACTCATCTTGTCTATCAGTTGTGCATTGGAATGTATACGGATGGACAAACGCAAACTCTGAGCATTACTGTTGCACTCTTTAAATCCTCATATTATTTCTCTTAACAAAACACATTTGGTTGCGGAAGCTGCGATTGAACGGCTACACCTGGTTTGGAAACAACAGGAAAAGACACAGAAATGCTCTGAAAGGCTCTGGTGGTGTTGGTCTTTTAGTCCGTAAACTCTCGTTGAGTATTTCAAAATCAGTGTGGTGGATAAGTCTGTGGACGGTATCATAGGAGTGAACTTTGAACACTAGTGATGGCAATATGAAGCCCCATGATGCATTGAGGGTTTGCAGCCTGTTACTCGGCCCATGGTTCGAAGGCTCGAGGTGATTCATGCTCCACAACGCCATCATGTGGACAAAGAAATACATAACACTCTTAAGTGCTTATGTCACATGTGTAAAAACAGGTTCTTCGGACCCGGATTTAAAAAGGACTACTGAATTAAAAGCGAATTAAAAGCAATTTATTATAAAATACATTTAAAACAAGTAAATAAAAGCTATAAAAACCTAAGCTAAAAAAAGGGCTAAAAAGTTAAAACAGAGGCTAAAACGCAGGCTAAAACACGTTCCCACGGCCTGGGCCGCCAGACCACGAGGCTCTCCCCTCCCGTGTCTGGCTCCTGTGTCTCGTTCTGTCTACGCCTCCCCCTCCCCATCTCAGTCTTTTATTCTCAAGGCGCAGGTGTCTTGATTGCTCACGTGGGGAGCTGGGGTGCTTCAGGTGGTGCCAGTTAAAATCAATATTAAAAACACACAAACACAACATGCATAAAATATGAATAAAACCTTATTAAAACCCACCACCCATTTTGCACCCCCCGACACTTACAATGAATGGTGGGGTCTAATATTAATATTGATATTTACAGTCTATGATCTAAACATGTTGTGTTTGAAATGATGCTTCAGGAACTATGAAATTTTAGAGGCTATAAGTCAATTGTGATGATACAACAAACACATTAGATCAAAAGCAATGCAGTTTTACAAAAAGTAAACACTTTTTGTAAACCTGCATTGCTTGAGGAAAAACTACCATGAGGTGGATTAATTAAACATAACAAACAATTTATTCCCGATAATTAAATATATTTACTTTGTTAATACTAAATTGAATTTAAGTCAAGCGGGATTCGAACCATAAAGCTCCGACTTCAGAGACCACTGCGCCACGCAACTGTTACGTAATGTTCGATCCAATGTATTATTACTACTAACTTAAACAAAACCTGATATATGAGGTTTTACCCATGGGTTTTATTAAAGTGACACGTTTGTAATTGAATTTCATATGAAGTAGATTTGCTTTACTTAAAGCTGCACTAACTGACTTTGGGATTTTGAAGCCGCAGACTCGCTGGCCTCTCTCTTTCTGCTCCCCTCCCCGCACCCACGAAGCCATCGCCCCCCACACACACTCACTGTTGGGACGAAGCTAGTGTCTCCCAATATGGATAATACATGGACATGGATTTGCACGTGGATGGCGTGACCATAGAACGATAGAACCGGGAAGCGCGGAGGAACGAGACTTTCTTTTGGATGGCTGTCTTGCTGTGTAAGCAGTAACCGGTGATGAAGAGACGAAGCTTCAGGTTAGCTCCTCGTCTTGTTGTACTAACTCAGCCGTCTATGCTAACGGAGACCTGTAGATTTCTCACAAAAGTGGGGGCCGGGTGGTGCGACCCGAAACACATTCTCTTCCTTGTTTCATCAAAACTCGATCTAAAATATAATGTCACGCCAGCACAAATCTGCGCTAATTATTCTTCAAAAGGACGTATATCCCAATGCACTACATGGACATGGATAGCATTTTTGTAATGAATACGAAAATAAAGTCAGTTAGTGCAGCTTTAAGTACAGGACTGCTCCACATCACGCACACAGAGACAGACGGGTACAGCCGCGGATCACAAAGCACCTGTCAAAGCGATGCACTCTCCGAACAATATGAAGCACCTCAGTGAACCGTCACGTGGTGCGGCCGCGACGCGAGGCTTCGAACGTCACCAACACACGCCTCGATCCACGCTTCAAAAAATACGCCCCTATTTTACTCGGTACACGCTTCGAAGACCCGGTGTTCTGTCGAGAAGTGAACCCTTGTCGAGATTTGCACCCTTTGTTGAAATGTGCATCCCCACCCGCCGAAAGCAACTTTCTATAGCTTAGTCATTATGAATGTTTACTCAATAAACATGTCAACATATTTATGATTTATTATATTTTTTATTAAAAGGTAGCATATTAGTTTAATGTACTGAATACATGGCGTGCACTCCTTGTGAAATTTGCCTCCCCACCCGCCGAACGTGTTATCACTTTATGAGCCAGTATTTTGATCTTTTAAAAAGGAAAAGTTATATTATATACGTGCATACTACATTTCTATTATCTTACTGCACAATTGTGCAATAGTTGCTAATGCAGAAGTCCCGACGCCATCTTAAGACGTATATTTACATTATTGTCCACATCTTCACGTGAATTTGAACTAGTACTGCATCACTTAATGTCTAGTGCCATAGTGTTTGGCAAACATAAACAAGATTACACTCGTGTACTTTGTTATCATAAATAAAACTACTCACGTGAAGCTGGAGATGCACATCACTATTGAACACCGTCTCACGAAATATAATTTTGTGGTATTTTCCTGCTATCTGTCCCCGGAAGGAAATCTATTAGACAGCAACGCTTTTTTTGCCTGTTTGTTACATTATTATTTATGGCTTAGACGCGAACACCATTTATATATGTGGAGACTTTAATAGTCGCATAGGCGATAAACTGGACATTATTAGGGATATTGACCATGTCCCGCCCAGACTAGGGTTGGATCTTATTTGCAATAGTCATTGGGATTCTTTTCTTGATTTTTAGAGAGACTTAGTGCTGTATCTTAAATGGCAGATTTAAAGTGGAGGATGGTAATTAGTAGTGAATTATTTAGTGACGCACCATGATTGTTTGGATTCCTGCCTCGAATTTAAAGTGATTAGTGCCACAGATCTTATGGTTCAAAATGCAACATGTCTTTCCCTTTTTGCCGATCGATGTCATTTACCTGATCATTCCCTGTTGCTGCTAACTTTCAAAGTAGGAACGCAAATACCACAAGAAAATGTATGTTTGCCCAAATGTATACAAAGAATAATCCCTGAGACCTTTCTTGCATCCACCAACTGTAAAGATTTGTTATTTGATTCAACAGAACATTTAAAACATTGTATAAATGACTAGGATCTAAATAAATGGTACGATGAGTTTTGTAAAATGATAACTGAATAAATTAATTGCTATCAAAAGAAACCTCTGAACAAAACACATTCCCATCAATTGAATAGGTCCAGTCCCTTCTGGAATGGCCATCTTCAAAAACGATGGGACGAACGTAATCATGCAGAAAAAGAGTTTAACTGTAAAGACTCTAAAGACAAACAAGGTTTGAGGGACAAGTACAGGTGGAAACAGTCTCTTTTTGAAAAGCATTTCAGAACCTGTAAGAAGATTTCAAAGGGGACAAGTATTAAAGATAGACTATTTACAAACCAACAACCCAACAACAGTTGTGGAAGCTGATAAATAAACTGGTTCCTCAAACACAAAGAAAATTCCAATTGAAGTCATTCTAGACAATGGTGATGTGGAGCAGAAAAAGGAGAAAGTTCTTGCAAAATGGCAACATGATTTTTCAGACCTTTATGCTGAGGGACTAGTCCCGATTCCAACACTAGTAATATTATACTGACAACAAAACTAGACTTAGAAACAGTTATGTGTCAAGATTGTTATCCGCCAAATATGTTTTTGAACTTTGACATTACTGTGGAAGAAGTAGGTGATGCTGTGAATCGGGCAAAACTCAGGAAAGCAATGGGAATAGAAGACATCCCTAATGAAGTGTTAAAATCTCCACATCTCCTAAATATTCTCTTCTGTTCAAATTCTGTTTCGACAACAGCCTTATTCCCTCAGTGTGGTATAAATCCATAATCAAACCCATAACCGAAGCATCTAAAGATGATCCTAAAGTGCCATTTAATTATCGAGGGATTAGTTTGTTAAGTACAGTCTATAAAATGTATTCTAGTTTGTTAAATACTAGACTGACTGATTTTATTGAAGATACCGAGTTGTTAGTGGATGAACAAAATGGATTTAGAAAACACAGAGCATGTATTGACCACATTTTTGCTGTTTCAACTATTGTCAGAACCCGATTGGCTGAAAACAAATCCAGATTTCTAGGTTTTGTAGACTTTAAAAAAGTTTTTGATTGGGTAAACAGAGATCTACTGTATTTGAAACTTCTTCAGGCTGGGGTTGATGGGAGATTTTATAAAGCACTAAAATCACTGTATACAAACTGTATCGGATGTGTCCAATTAAATGAGCTCCAGACTGACTGGTTCCCGATACCCTCTGGTGTAAAACAAGGGGACAGTCTGTCTCCAAACCTGTTTTCACTTTTTATCAACGACTTGGCTCTGGAAATATAACAATTGAACATGGGTATCCGTATGGACTCAGACACAGCAGCCATTCTGCTTTATGCTGATGATGTTGCACTCATGGCTGAATCAGTTACAAGACTGGTGTTATAAGTGGAAACTTTCCATAAATCAAACTAAAACTCAGATTGTTCGTTTCAGGAGGAAGTCAATCCCATTAAGCAAAAATGTTCTTAAGCTCGAGTATAAATATCGGAGTTACACATTCAGTGAGTTTATGAGTTTTGATTGTGGAGTCAAAGTTCTTGCGGACTCTGCCAGCCGTGATTTAGGCTGTGTGATAAACAAAAGTAAAGTATGTAAAGATCTTGGTTTTAGAACATACTCTTGGTTGTATGAGGCCTGTGTTTCTCCTGTTCTAACCTTTGCTGCTGGTGTTGGGGGGGGCAGACAGTATTCAGCCTTAGATGTTGTAGAAAACA